AGCCAGCCCACATTTTAGTAATGTCGTCATGACGCAGCAAATCTGGATCAGCTCCGTTGTACCGCCGTTTTTAGAGATGTGGGTACGGAAGAAAAGAGAGAGGGTTTTGTTTTCTGACACTTTGAGAGTCTCCTTACACACCGGGGACACATATTTATATTCGTCCAACTTGTGCCAACAGAGTAAACTGATAGTGATTTGGCTGATTGCTGCTGTCTAAACACAGTGTGGACAATAATACCGTGTCTGTATGTTGTTCATAATCCCACACTTTACATAGTGGGCTCAATATTTATATTTCTAGGCTATAGACATGTTTTATGGACTGTAACCTGTGATGCACTTTGTTAAATAAAGGAAATCATCTGAATAAATACTCTGAACATGCACTATCCGTCTGTTGGAGCTCATACAGTAGGCCTACCTCAGAGTGTGTGACAGGCACAGAGCTGATGCCAGCGTTCACAGCGGTCCAGGATCGAGCAGTGAGCACGCAGGCGAATAGCGCAAATAGATCTCCAGCCCCCAGTCTGCGGCTGTAACGCTCCACCCCCGACATGTCCCCTCTAATCAGAGCCTGCCACAACCGACAGTAGTCCAACCTGAAGTCTGGCTCCAGGACCTGGGGGGGAGGGGGGGAGAGAGAAGTACTCAGGTCTTGTACTGAAGTAAAAGTACCAGACAATTACATTATTCTGCAGAATGGTCCATCTCAGAATAATATATATGATATGTTTTATAATGATTGATAATGAAAGTGTTCTCAAAGCTGGTAAAGGTGCAGCTAGTTTGAATGACTTTGTATACTGCAGGGTAGCTTGTGAATTTACTCCAGGTGGAACTAAAGTCTGATTTAACACTTGATTATATTTCACATCATTCATCCACATCTGTGAAGTAACTAAAGGTATTAAATACATGCAGTGGAGGAAAAGTACACCATGTACCTCTGACTTGTAGTAGAGTAGAAGTACAAAGTAGCTGTTTCTAGGTATGTTGACAAATAATCATTATCTAAGTAAAAATCATCATAACTTCTGCAAGTTGTGGGTGTGTTCTGTATGTCTTTATATTCATTTAATATTTACATGTACACAAGGAGTGAAACAATATTCTACTCCAAAATGACAGCTGTAATCAGAAGTCATAAGGAGTTAATTGGTCAATATGTGTGTGTGTTAGTTTGTTTGCTTGTGTGCGTGCATGCATGTGTTTGTGTGTGCCAATTTTGAAGGACTACCTTAATTCTTTGAATACAGGAACAAGCAGTTAACAAACTGAGTGTAACACAAGTGTTTGTAAGAGCAGTGTGTGTGTGTGTGTGTGTGTGTGTGTGTGTGTGTGTGTGTGTGTGTGTGTGTGTGTGTGTGTTTGACTGTATCACTAAAGATGTGGTGCACACATCGCAACACAACATCCTGCACTCTGCTAAGCACAACATCAAATTAGTTGTTTATCAAAAAGCTTTTATGGTGCTGTAGCTCTAATAGAAGTGTGTCTGCATGTGATAGTGTGTGCGGAAGGCATGATTTATTACGAGCATCTTGACTGTGTGTTTGCTGCTCTACCAATGTATGTACTCAGGCTTTTAGCCTAGGCCAGCGGCATGAAAAATTGAGTTTTTTTATCTGCAGTCAGCCTGTAGATTTGTTACCTGATAAAGACCGTGATCAAGCAGGGTGATCTCGGTCTTCTTGCTCTTAGGACACTTTCGGACCAAGACGTTGCCCGGGTGCGGGTCACAGTGAACAAAGCCACGGACAAATATCATTTCACTATAGATCTTGCCCAGGTTCTCTGAGATCTGTTGGAGACATGATATAGAAAGAAAGGAGAAAAATTCAAAAATGACAAGTCACAACACATTTAGAATGTACTCGCTATTGTCTCACCTTTAGTAAGTGTGACAATCTTGGTGTATTTTTGATGTTAATAATGATTTATGCACTTAGTTATTTGGAAAACATTTTTGATTTGATTTGTGCATAGTCATGGTATTGTTGTGCTGATTGATTGGAAGTTATTGTGTGTATAGCTTTAAAGTGCGGCAAATGTAATTTTTTTTGTATTTTGAAACCCTTGGTTTGTCTGCGTCTACCCATACAGTACATGTTATCCCAAGATATTTTCTAGGTAAAATACAGGGGCAGCAGGTGAACACAATGAGACAATCAGGCACAGGATGGACAACTCAGGGAGTAAGAAACCAGGAGAAAATAAATGTCAAAATAAAACAGGAAAACAGACAGACCGTGACAGATTTGGGTCTGGGGTGTGGTGAATTGGCTCATCGATGTCCACAAACAGCTTTCAAAGTAAAGACCCCCCACTTAAATTATTGCATCGCTATATGTAACATTTGGAAACAAACAATATCTCCTAGACATAAGCTGCAAATTCAACAGGAAGTCCATGATTTCAAAATGTATGTGCATTGTATGCATATTTTTCGCCTTTGAACTCTAACAATGATAATAATTAAAGAATAACTTATTGTGCTCACTTTCAGGTAAGTATTTGTATTTTGAGCTCCTACTAGAACTCCAATTTTGGCAGCAAAATGTTAAGACGTTCACGATGCAAAACTGCAAAGTTTTTCTCGTTTAATGAAACACTGATGCGATGCATCATTCATCATGAGAGGAATTTGTTTTTTAGGGCTAGCGTGCTTAAAAAAAACAACCTCTGTTGTCTGATATTGTTCTTGTGCATGGGGGTGTGCCACCGACTGTCAACAGAAGGTCAGCCTTTTGTCTAGAGCAATGCATTTAATTATAGATATAATAGATAGAGATATTGCTTGGGCAGCTATTTTCTCCACTTTCATCAATGATTTTTAAGTCATCTGTCTATGCTAGGCTGTGTAGACACACTGATAGTTTGTGTTCCTGTGTGTGTGTGTGTGTGTGTGTGTGTGTGTGTGTGTGTGTGTGTGTGTGTGTGTGTGTGTGTGTGTGTGTGTGTGTGTGTGTGTGTGTGTGTGTGATTATAAGTCAGTTTAGTATAAGCTTTGTAACCAACCGACACACAGAGCAGCCAGTACCTCGTTGACATCGATGCCGTGTTTCTTCATGTATTCCCTGTCGTTTACCTGCCCCCCCTCAGCAAACTCCATGGTCAGAATCCTCTTTGTGGACAGATCCCAATGTATCTTGGGAACCTGTAAAGAGAGATGAATAAAGTGTTACAGGTGTACATACATGAAGATCTAGGTTCAGATGGCCTGTCAGGTTCAAACAGGATAGACCTACCTACTTAGAGCTAACAAACCTCTATTCAAATATAGAAAACTTTTTTAAATAGAAAAATAGTTATGTAGAAATCATTCTGGCAGGCTTTAAACATAATAGAAAATATTCAATTTATTGGGAATACAACGTAATATTAGATAAGATAAGATAAGATGGGACTTTATTGATCCCAATTTGGGAAATGTTTGTGTTACAGCAGCATAAAAAGACATGGCATTGTACAATACAAATTAAAAGACTAGAAATAAACAAGAAAGTAGAAAATATACATGTTAAATGTAATACAGTATTACAAATCAAATCCAATCAAGTTTTATTTATAAAGCACATTTAAAAGCGATTTTTGGTCGGGCCAAATTGCTGTACATGTAATAAAAACACATTACCACAATGACAATAAAAGACAATAAATTACAACAGATATATAAAAAAGGGAAAAGTCAGGAGTCGTGCTCCGCTCTGACCAGAAGGCCAGGGAGAAGAAGTGAGTTTTAAGTGTTGATTTTTTTTTTGAGCTGCAGCTGGTCAGCCGACCTTAAGGCTCTGCCTGGGGTGTAGCGATGGAGGAGTTTGGCTCTATCGGCCGGAGCCAGCACATTAAGGGCTTTCAAAACAAATAAAAGGAGTTTAAAATCAATTCTGAACCGAATTGGAAGCCAGTGCAGTGAGGCCAGAATTGGGGTGATGTCGTCACGCTTTTTGTGGCCAGTGAGTAGACGTACAGCTGCGTTTTGGACTAGCTGCAGGCGTTGAGGCAACGTTTTTGCTCAGCCAGGATTTATCAAGCAGTCCATCAACTGCTGTAGTGAGTGTTTGACATTAGAATTGAGAGGCAGATAGATCTGTACATCGTCGGCGTAGCAGTGGAAGGGAATATTGTGTTTAGTGAGAATTGAACCTAGGGGCATTATGTACAGTAAAAAGAGAATGGGGCCCAGGATAGAGCCTTGGGGAACCCCACAGGTAAGAGGGGCTTTAGCAGAGGAGAAGGCACCTAGTTCAACCTATTGATTGATTGATTGATTGATAAATGTACAATGTGGTTTTATTCCATGAGAAACTATGGAGCAGAGAGTTTCTGCCTAGCCAGAGGTGATTTGTTGTACAGTGTTATTGCAGTGGGCAGGAATGTTTTCCTGTATCGGTCCTTGTGCAGCAGTCTGTTGGAGAAGGAGCTCCGCTGTCTGTCCAGCTGCAGGTGGAGAGGGGGGGGAGTTAGTCCGTGATGGA